TATGTCAGACACCTGAGGGCCTGGAGGGGGGAGCTGAGCCCTCAAAATTCTGAGGCAGATCCAGCAGATTTCTGAATGTTATTGCTCAAGAAAATACAAAAGCCCCATTGCCTCTCTTCATAGCTACTACATCCATTGCATGGGCAGAGGTATATTATATACATCTACAGAGAAGGAGAAATGTACAGTATACCTCAAATATTTTGGAAAGCTGCATGCTGAACACTGGAGAATAACAAGTGTTGAGCCAAAATTTCTCTGAAGATTTTTATTTTAATTATTCCCCTAGAAATAGAAAGCGACTGTCCAGAATGATTTTTGACATTTGTCCACCATTTTCCTAGTGGCTTCCTTCCTCTCCTTCCCCACACCATGATGACACTAGTTAAGAGACAACATCGTGCAGGGAGTGAGGCGGTGCTCATGCCGTCAGGACAGTGGCTGTTGCTCCCGCTTGCAGTGCAAAGGACAAAAACTTTCTGGCGGAAAAAAGAAAACAGCTGTGCTGGAGCCATTACTAATCCTGAGGATCACCTCTAAGAAACTGTGGAGAATTCCTCCTTCCCTGGAGACATGCAGTGAAACTGAATAAGCCATTTCTCTGCCCACAAACAGTGTGGAGAAATATGAAAAAGCCATTGGTACACAGCTGTAACCCATCCTAGTAGAGTGGTAAGCGTGTGTGGTTTACCGTATGGAGGATCTCTCAATTCTGCCTTCTCCTGCTTTTGACTTTTCAAAACTCAAAGTTTGTCCTATGTGGAGAAACGCATATGTTTATGAGCAAAGAAGCTGAACTGAAGTTCTCCCCTCTCTACATAAGCCAGATTGAACAAGCAGAGCTACTCCCTGCAAGGAAAATATCATATTCTACCTGCATACAGCTGTTGAAAATGAGGAGCTCCTGGAAAAAGAAGCAGCAGAAGAAGAGGTTATGCCCTTAGCTAGACTAACATTGGAATTCAATTAATTTCTATAGGGGGGCCACGTGTCAGATTTCTGACAGTTAAGTACTCAGAGACATAGGGCTGGATGGATGAAACTGTCAATTTCCATTTTTCCTTTGTTTGACTATTGTTAAGTATCAAATTATTTCCATTCTGACGATGAAGAAGTTTCTGGATTTTGGTAAATTGCCAGAAACACACTGAATTGAAATTCTCATCAGGTTCTATATGGCTGCTACAAAGGAAAAAAATTATATATAAACAAAACAAGCATCATTGTCGTATTTGAATTCCATATAGCTGAATACTTCAGTGGTTTAGGCATTTGGCTTTGGAGTCAGGTGTTGGGACTTTGATTCCCCACTGTGCTTTGTTGGACCTGATGATCCATAGGGTCTCTTCCAGCTCTACAGTTCTATTAGAGATAGAGACAGACAGACAGACAGACAGACAGA